ACTCGCTCAAATCGTAACGTTTTTTTGACCAAAAAATTACAAGTGATATTCGTCGAAGTACAAACACAAGTACCGTAGAAGCAAGACAATTCATCTACCATCTACTTGATGATCCTGCGCTCATAAGGCCAAACCTGAATCTCTTCCACCTCCTCATTATCCTCCTGGTTATCATCAGGCTGGCCAAGGAGACCAACACGAACCTTCCCTTTGCGAGGACGATAGGTCCACCAACCGACTTCGCCATGAACTTTGACATAAGCGCTAGGGCGACAATGAGCTGTTACATGGTTTTTAAGAACCAAGAAACACTTACCGCCATCGTTTATCATCAGCTTTTTTGAGGATAGCCTCACGGTTCCTATTCCCCAGCATGTTAGCATGATACACAGGAACCATGGTGGAATAACTGGGGACGTACTTCAGATAGTACTTCTTCGCCGCTGCCTTCTTGCGCTCCTTAAATGCCTCTTTCTCTTCATAACTCATCTTAGAATGATTCCTAAGTAATGAAGAAGAACAGTGCCCAGGATGTGTCAGTTAGAAAGTCAGAACAGCTGCGAAAGAGCAACTCACCTAGCCATGCGCTCTGCAGCCTCAGCATTCAACCGCTCCTTATTTCTAAATATTTGAGACAGTTAGTAAATATACATTTAGTCGTGAAAGCTTGAGTATTTAAGCTTAAGCAAGAGGAAATCCACGTACTTGAGGCGGTATCGCTGCGAAGCTCGTTTTGCCTTGCGCTGCTTGACCTCTTGTTTAGCTCTTTTCGTACGCTCTGATTTTCGGATGGCGGATTCTGTACGCAAGCGTGGCATTGTGGAACAGTGTATCAAGTGATTTTGAGTGGTAGTTGTGGAAGTTGGCGGTAGAGAACCTCAAAGTAAGGGAAAGAAGAGGTAAGCGCGCGTATGGGAAATGAAAGCATGTTCGCTTTGTGTTTTATGATCAGACTAATAATCTTCGCAATTTACTGCAGGACCTCATCCTACACCTGGTGCTACATACTGATAGTAAAAGCTGTAGATATTAATCGGAAGCATAACATCAATTATTTTCAGAATTTTCTACTAACGCAAAAGGCCATGGTACGCGAAACAGGCTGCAAAGCCTAGTTTTATGACTTCGTGATGGAAATGTACCTGAGCTTTAATTGTGGCAAACGCGCATCCAGCGTACAGATGTGCAAGCAAACAGTTTATAATTTGATACTGTATGTACGGTGCTATCTTATTGTGCTGTAAAAACCCATCCCAACCTCCCAAAGCTTTGCTCGAGAGGCCACCAAGGGTTTTTCTGCGCCACATTAGCCCTCTCCTTACATTCTTTATCTGATGTATCCATTGTGAGATTAGCGAGCCATGCTAGCGGAAATGAAGAAGGCAGTAGAGGATCGTGTCTCGTGTTGAGCGATTGACGTGTGGGCATGCGTAGTGCAAGCGGAAGGGACGAGGAAGGGACGTATATTGCACGCGTAAAAATAATAATAAATTTAAAAAACTATCCATCTTCGCAGATTTCATCGGCACTGACGAGATTCGAACTCGCAGCCAGGCTACAATAATTGCTTAGCAGAATTTCAAGATTTCGCAGCCTAAGGTTAACCGTTACCCCACAGCACCATGCCTATTTAGCATTATATACAGTATATTTCGCATTATCTACGGTAATGAGCGACGAGCAACAAGAGCCCAAGCGACCACCGGTGCCTTATACCTGCCAATGAGTCACATGCACATAATATCAACCGACTACTATGACCTCGAATACACTCTGTTTCAACAAACGCGTGCAGGCGCTGCAGGTATCAGGGCACTCAAACCGTTCCTCCAATCGACGACAGCGTGGCCCATTGCATGGCTTGCAAGGAGACGCCAGCTCGCAGAGGAAATCGGGGGTTCGCGGAACAACTGCTCTTCGCCAGTCTCAAGTTCTGAAGATGAGGGAGAAGGGTGCTGCGGCAGAAGTTCGGATACTAGCTCAACAACTTCCAGAGGTCATTGTCACACAGGAGTACCCTCCTGCTGCTGATGATGAGCCTATGCCCTACGTGCACGACTTCAACGCTGGCATGAACGATGGTTGGTTGGATGTCGACTCAGATGATGAAGACGAGGCAGAGGATGCAGAAGAGGGTGAGGTGGAGAAGGCAGCAAAGAAGTTCAGAGTGGAGTATCGAGACTTTCGCACCAGGCGAGACCGCACAGATACCAACAGCAACTACTGGGCCGAGCAGACAGAGGGCATGGTCGATGCATACATGGATTGGTGCCGCAGGAAGACTACTGGAGAGGCTCTGCCACCATGCGATAAACCCTCTTTGTGGATCGACGTTATTGATATCTTCGGTGTGTAATCGTAACGCAAGCTATAACAAAACGAAGCTAACTATTGTTTCCAGGGACCGAGTACAGAGAAATCCCTCGAACTAACGACACCTTTGACTCCGCTTCTTTGATTAAATCTGGTGTCCTTCCGACAGCCCCTCTGAGGCATTCCACCGGTTTCACCATTCGAACGATCAGCCTCTACCACAAGTTATTCGTACGCTGCCCCAGGCTTGGAGTTCAGCCTTTCGCAAAGGCTCTTTGCGACCTGGAGGGCGTTGCTTTCCGGCCCTACCTATCCTCTCAAATCTACGCTGCTCTAGATGTATATGTTTCCCTTTTGAATGGTGTTCGAAGACGCGTTAGAGCTGTGCTGGGCCGTGAAGGAAGAAGCTGGCGAATGCTGAACGCTTGTCCATCTTGCCAGTACCGCCTTTGTGAGGATGACAAGCTCGACGTGCGCATGATCGGGCAGATGGACGGGAATGATTCGCTGAAGAGGGTTGAGCGTAAGGAAGATCGGTGGGCTGAGAAGGAGGAGGCCGGACTCGAGCTGCCGCCTGCCAGTAGGGAGAGGATTGACCGCCGTGTTGCGGGGCAAGATTACTTCGCATCTTTGGAGGAGACGAAGGTCTGGGATGAGAACAACTGGTCAAGCATAGAGGATCCAGCTCCTAGTGCAGATACTGAGCTGCTTCACCATGTTTGGGCTGAGGGACGGTGCGAAGAGCAATGGCATAATATGAAGGAGGCGAATACTGTTAAGTCTGCTGCGAAGTTCCGAGAGAACGGTTGGTTTGTTTTACTCTGCCAACATATGATGGTCCTGGCTGTCTGCGATATGGTACAAAGTGGCGAGCTGTATGTGCCTTTCGACTTTTTACCTCTACTCTCACTGATGATTACCTCTACAGCGCTCGATACCCTCTGGCTTTACTGCACCTGTTTATGAGTGCTGAGAAGGAAGAGCGTGAACGCACTGGAGAAGGGAGGTCAAAAGGATCTCTAGCCATTGCTTACGATATCGCCTGCAAATTCTCGAAGACGCTCTCTCGGAGTCCACTCAAAAGTCTTGCTCAGTGGTCTAATTATCTTCCGGTGGTCGGTACTATGCATGGGTATGGCCATGAACGTCTCTGCCAGCTCCTCTTCCTCATGCTCTACATTGTTGGATGCGGTCTGGAGGACGGTGAGGGTGACGAACGCTTCTATAGCGTTTCAAACGCTCTTGCACCTATTACACACCACCAATCTGCCTTCCACCGTCGACAGGCAATTTCCGAATTTCTCTACTACAAGGACATCGAGACATACGCCAACATAAGCCGGTTTCTGTACGGCAACTACAAGCAAGCTCTTGGCATAACCATGACTCGCGACACATTGAGCACGAGCATGAAGACCGCTGGGATCACTTCTCCGCAGACATTCTACACTTGGTTACTGGAGGAGGGCGAATATCTGCGGAACCTTGCTGGCACGCCTCCCGAGGAGACGGTAAAGATGGAATACTACCTAAAGCTAGAGGCTTTGCAGAGTTGTCAGTCGCGTCTTTCAAAACTTCGCCTGGACTACGTGTCATATGTTTCTGGAAAGCGAGACATGGTGAATGTCTACGAGAGGAAGTGCAGAAACGAGGAGGAAAATGAGCTTAAGCTCATAGCTGATGTCCAGGCGCTGGAAAAATCACTTGAAATCAAGGTTAGATGGGTAGAAGGAAGTGATGAATGGGCTACAGGAAAGAAGATGGTCAAGGAGGCTGCTTACCGTAAGGCTCTGGACAAGCTGGAGTCTTTGTTGGTGGCTCGAATGTTCGAGATGGCAAGATTGAATGTCTCCGGTACTGGTAAGCTGTGATATGTGTGTTTATGGCCTTCCCTGCTGACTCCTTGCTCTCCAGGCTACAAGATGCGCAAGCACATCGCTCAATCCCTCAAAAATCATTTGAAGTCAATTCAAAATGCCATCACGACTTACAACAAGGCTGCAGCTGCACTGACTCCTGCTCGCCGGAAAATCACCTGGGATGAGGTTGTCGACTATGCGTACTTATCGGAGTTCGACATTCTCCGCGACACCCGTGAGGATGTTCGAGAGAGGAAGTGGGCAACACCTCAAAATCGCGTGCTGATGACACGGTTCTTCAAGTTCATTCGCGCAGAGGAGGAGCTTGCACGAGTTCACGTAGAGGTCAAGAGACTTCTTACCTACATGGTTGATGAGGAGTTATTAGTGTGTGGGAAGGCCACAGAAGTGGAGGCGGAGAACCCTGCACTTGCCCTTCAGCTTCGGCTCCACTGGAAGGAACGTTCTCGCTTCAACTCCATCCACCGATCACGCCTGTTTGCCATCACCAAGCTGAGAGGCTTTGACCATGCGAACCGACATTATTGGACTGCTGGAACTCATGTCACACGTCAGCAAAGCGGTGGGAGTACCGTCGGAAGCACCATCGGGAACACGGCGGAGGGCCCGGAAGACTGGGAAGAGGATGACGATGAGGATGATATCCATGAGTCCGAGAGCCGTGTTGTGAGTGTTTTAGATGCGACATTTGATGATGATTAGTACCTCTGTATCCTACCATGTACTGTGATTTTTGTCTACACACTAAATGCTATGTACGCGCCCCCCGAATGACGCCCGACGGTGAGATCAGAGGGTCACGAGGTGTCACCGAGGTGACCAGGGGTTATCTATGATGAAATACTGCCTAAAGTTCCTCTAGTTTAGTGTATTTATTTGTTATAGGGTACCTTACTCTAAACACCTTATCTACATAGCAAGGTACCGACGGGGTACCAGCTTATGTATATACTGTACTTGGGGCTGTACAGGTGTTATAAATCCCGGAAATATCCTGGAAAAACCACAAAAAATATGGAAAATATTCGGAGGGTGTATTGCAATCACATGACCCTGGATCTTTGGCAAAGAAGACCCAATAATGGATAATAATCACAAAAAATCAATCATTTCTCATAAAACAGCAGCAGGGGTAGGGATATACACCATACCATATATGGTTATGGTGGCACTGTATCAGTATATTCAGTGGCACTGTATGACTATGGTTAGGGTGGCACCATGTAAATGTTATTATGGTGGCACTAGTATGGTTACAGTGGCACTGTATAAATATTGTTACAGTGGCATCATCTGAATACAGTTAGGGTGGCACTGTATAAATATTGCTACATTGGCACTAAATGAATATGGTTAGGGTGGCACCATATAAATCCGATTAGGGTGGCACTGGATTAATATTGGTACAGTGGCACCATATGAATATGGCTAGGGTGGCACCATACAGTGACACCAGATAAACATGGGAAATATCATGTGAGCAGTGATATGCCATCTGTGGCTTGTCAAAATATTTCAGGGTGTATATCTCTCAATGGATTTTTTTCTAAATCCTGTGTGTGTATACATTACAAATACAGTTATGATACTGCCATATAAGTATGGTTATGGACCAGCCACATGAATATGGTTCCAATATCATTACTGCTTCTGACCAACTGTTCAATCATGTATTACCTCTCAAAGATCAAGAAGTAGAGTAAATTTATTCTCGAGGTTTTGGCATATTTTCTGTTATCTTCTATTGTGAATTTTTCTGAAATCCATGAATAGCTGGTTCATCAGGAAAAATGGTCTGGGCCCAGGGCTGACTTTAGGTTGACCCACAATGACCTAAAGAGACTTAAGGGAACCTAAGGATACCTAGGTCTCCTAGGCCACCTAGGTTGCCTAGCCTGCCTCAGTTTCTTTGAGGTCACCTAGGTTGCCTAGGATTTAGGGATAAACTTTGGGAATTTGAGGTAACCTGAGTAAACCTGAGTAAACCTGAGCTGACCTGAGGAACCTGAGGTAACCTGAGGTAGCCTAAGGTAGCCTGGGGTAGCCTGGAAGACCCAAGGTGACCAGGGTGACCAGGGTGACCAGGGTAGCCTAGGTTCCCTAGGTCATCATAGGTTTAACCCCTTTTCGCTGATGCTTGTAGTAGTACAAGATTACCCTGTCATGATTATATGTTACTGTAATAGTATCATCATGACCATATTCATACACTACTACCATATCAATATTGTTATGGTACTGCTGCATAAATATGGTTGGGGTACTTCTATATAAGTATGGTTATCCTATGTCACATATACTTGTAGCCACGGAAAAAAATGGTCCGGGTCACATTTGCATTTGAACTTGCAATCTTCAGTGTATTTTGGAAAGGAGATCACAAAAAATTCTGAGTAGGTGAATATGTTGTATTGATGGTGATAAACATC